TATTTGAAAGCTAAATGTCTGAAGGCACTAGATTTATTAAAGGTTGTTTCTAATTCCAAGTGGGGAGGTGATCAAACGACCCTCCTTCACTTATATAGATCACTTGTCCGTTCTAAGCTCGATTATGGCTCCATCATCTATGGTGGAGCCTGTAAAAGTAATCTTAAATTACTTGATCCCATACATCATCAGGGTCTGAGGCTTTGCCTTGGATCTTTCAGAACTTCTCCGATTGACAGTCTATATGTTGAGGCCGATGAGCCATCCCTGAAACAACGCCGTATCAAACTATCTCTACAGTACATCACAAAATTATATTCTAATCAGTCTAACCCTGCATACAGTTGTGTATTTAATCCTCTTTATGAGGATCTGTACGGTAAGAAGTCCTCTCTTATTCCGCCTCTCGGAATAAGAATAAAACCTTTCATTTCTGCTGCCGATATTAAACTTGAAATTATATCTCCTTTCCGACAGCTTTCGTCTCCTCCTTGGCAATTGGTAAAGCCACAGGTGGATATTACCTTATCTAAACTAAAGAAGTCTGAGACTAATCAATTACAATATCAACAAGAATACAATCAGTTAAGGTGTGACTATGATACTTATAAATCTATTTTTACTGATGGATCCAAGGACGGTGATGCTGTTGCCAGCGCCACCGTCATTGGATCCAGAACTATATCAACTAGATTACCGGATGAATCTTCAATTTTTACAGCTGAATCAAAAGCAATATTAACTGCTTTAGAATATATAAATAAACAATCTAAACATAAAGAATTCATTATATTTTCAGACTCCTTATCCTGTCTTCAGGCTATTAGAAATAATTCGTGTCAGCATCCCGTTTTACTCGATATCATAGAACTACATAATAACCTTGCGACTGGCCAATATGACATCGTTTTTTGTTGGTTACCCAGCCATGTTGGAATTGTTGGTAATACAATGGCTGATGCTGCTGCAAAAGCAGCTCTCAACAAATCTGTGACACCACTTCTGCTACCATACAGTGATTATAAACCTGTCATTAGATCTTACATCAAAGATCTGATGCAGAAGAAGTGGGACGCCCAAGTGGGTATAAATAAATTACATGCAATAAAAGCAAATATCGGTTACACCTACTTGGGTTGTCAGTCCAGATTTGAAGAGGTCATTTTAAGACAATGTCGTATTGGCCATTCAAGGTACACTCATGAATATATTTTAAAAGGTGAAGATCCTCCATTTTGCATCCCTTGTGATGAAAGAATCACAGTCAAGCATGTCCTGCTTGACTGTGTTGATTTTTCCATCACAAGGGATAAGTATTTCAAAGTTTCATCGCTAAAGGATCTTTTTAATCACGTGAGTAGTCATTTAATTATTGGGTTTTTAAAAGAAATAGAATTATTACATAAATTTTGATGCTATGTTCTCTAAATAATACATATTTTAGTATTGGTAGCGGAAAAATTGTTAACTGAGATTGTTTGTGGCTTTATCCTTGATGGGGGTTGAAGTAGTGTAAAATGATTGTCCCCCTGAGAGGGTATGTCAGACCACGTCATTCAAAGTAATGTTTTTTCACCACAATTTTAATCGTAGAATATATGTTCATTTATTCTGGCTACATTTGTCATTAATCGCCAACAGCGGAAGGGATGATGTAAATCCGGCTGGGGTCCATGCAGGTAGCAAAAGTACTGTAAGTCCCCATGGACCCTAGCATGGTGATCTACCTTCAGCTGCTGGCGATCTATAGCCTTTTTTTATATTGTACCGTAATTTATAGTGCTATCTTTTTTATAGTTGTATGCTAGTTTTAAATAATAAACTGTGATATTCTAGTAATTTTACTGTCCATCGATGACAGGTTTTAATTTAGTTAAAAATGTATGTATTCAAATTGTCACATTTTTCGTCACGATATGGCTGAAATATTGCCGATGTGACGTAAAGCATTAACTCACTCACTCACTCACTTTAACTAGCTGTGTTTGTAAAACGATGGAACGCATGGTAAATAATCAATTAGTGTGGTACTTGGAAACAAATAATCTTCTTTCCAATATACAATGTGGTTTCCGGAAAAATAGAAGTACTATCGATCATTTAGTGCGTTTAGAATCGTTCATTAAAAATTCCATTGTAAATAGACAACATGCTGTATCGATCTTTTTCGATTTAGAAAAAGCTTACGATACAACATGGAAACATGGTATTTTAAAAGATCTTCATGATTTTGGATTAAGAGGCCGTCTGCCTCATTTTATATCACAGTTTTTAACAGACAGGCAATTTCAAGTCCGAGTGGGTACAACCCTGTCTGATCATTATAATCAGGATCAGGGTGTCCCACAAGGCAGTATTTTGTCTGTCACTTTATTCAGTATAAAAATTAACAGTTTGTCAAAAGTTTTAAATGATTCAGTTGATGGATCACTTTTTGTGGATGATTTTAATCTATCTTGTCGGGGTAAAAATATGCACACAATTGAAAGGCAATTACAATTATGTCTTAATAAAATTAACAAGTGGTGTCTAGAAAACGGGTTTAAATTTTCCAAATCAAAAACTAATTGCATACATTTCTGCCGAAAATATAAACCGCATAAGGACCCTGAACTATTTTTGAATGGCACCCCTATCAAAGTTGTTAAGGAAGCCAAGTTCTTGGGACTTATTTTCGATAGCCATTTAACTTTTTTACCACACATTAAATACCTTAAAGCTAAATGCCTGAAGGCACTTGATTTGTTAAAAGTTGTTTCTAATTCGAAGTGGGGAGGGGATCAGACAACACTATTGCACTTGTACAGGTCCCTGATCCGTTCAAAACTTGACTACGGCTCCATCGTCTATGGTGGAGCCTGCAAAAGTAACTTAAAAAAACTAGATACTATCCATCATCAGGGCCTGAGGCTTTGCCTTGGAGCTTTTCGAACGTCTCCAATTCACAGTCTGTATGTAGAAGCAGATGAACCTTCTCTTAAACAACGCCGTCTGAAATTATCTGTACAATATGTCACTAAATTATATTCAAATCAGTCAAATCCAGCTTTTAATTGCGTCTTTAATCCTCTCTACCAAGATATCTACAATAAAAAATCATCTCTCGTTCCACCACTCGGAATAAGAATCCAGTCTGCCATGTTTGCTTCTAATATTAAATTGCATGATATTGCTCCCTTTCAACTGTTTTCATCACCTCCTTGGCAAATGGTAAGGCCAGAGGTTGACCTCACATTAACCAACTTAAAGAAATCAGATACTAACCAATTAATTTACCAACAAGAATACAATCAATTAAGAACCACTTATAACACTTATAAATCTATATTTACTGATGGTTCCAAGGATGGTGGTGCTGTTGCTAGTGCAACTGTCATTGGATCCAGGACAATATCTTCGCGATTACCAGTTAACAGTTCTATCTTTACAGCAGAAGCAAACGCCATTTTTACCGCACTACAATATATCAAAAACCAATCTAAACATAAACAATTCATTATTTTTTCAGATTCTCTATCGTGCCTTCAGGCGATTAAGAATATATCTTGCAAACATCCACTTTTAATCAAGATTCTTGAATTATTTAATGATCTTGCTACTGGCCAATATGACATCGTCTTTTTGTTGGTTACCAAGCCATGTTGGTATCACTGGTAACACAATGGCTGATGCTGCTGCAAAAGCAGCACTCAACAAATCTGTGACACCACTTCTGATCCCATACACTGATTTCAAACCCGCGATTAGATCTTACATCCGAGATTTAATGCAGCAGAAGTGGGACGCCCAAGTAGGTATTAATAAATTACATGCTATAAAACCAACCATCGGTTACACCTACTTGGGTTGTCAGTCCAGATTTGAAGAGGTCATTGTACGATGATGTCGTATTGGCCACTCGCGATACACACATGAATATTTGTTAAAAGGTGAAGATCCTCCGTTCTGTATCCCTTGTGATGAGAGAATCACGGTCAAGCATGTCCTGCTTGACTGTATTGATTTTTCCATCACAAGGGATAAGTATTTCAAAGTTTCATCGTTAAAGGATCTTTTTAATCAGATTAATTCTCATTTAATTCTTGGTTTTTTAAAAGAAATAGAATTGCTTGATAAATTTTGATATGTACATGTATTGTAAAAAGTATGTGATTTTAATTTGGTAGAATGACGTAATAACTGAGTTTGTTAGTGGCTGTACCTTCAAAGGGGGTTGAAGTAACGTAAAATAATTGTCCCCCTGAGAAGGTATGTAAGTCCCATTTCATTCAAAGTATTTTTCATTTTCCATGTTTTTAATCGTAGAATTCTTGTTGTTTTTAAATGTTTTGGCTTAAACTTGCCGACAATCACCAGTAGCCGGAGGGATGGTGTAAATCCTGCTGGGTTACCATGTAGGTAGCAGAAGTATCGTAAGTCCCCATGGTACCTAGTATGGTGACCTACCTTTGGCTATTGGTGATCTAAAGCCCATTTTTATTGTGTACTGTTTTGAATTGTTATGAATTTTATTCTGATATGCTAGTTTTACAATCTACATCTGTGATAGTCTAGTGTTTTTACTGTCCTTTGTCGACAGATTTTATTGTCACTATGTATTAATATATAACTTGATTTAGTCACGTTATGGCTGAAATATTGCCCATGTGACTTAAAACTTAACTCACTCACTCACTCTGGGCAAATATGTCCTAGTTACGGCGTGTTAACACAAATGATTGAGCAAATTACTTGTGTTAGAGCAGCCTGGAATGTTATTTCAATTGTAGAAGTCCAAATTAACGTCTGTTGTAGACGTTACCACTTTTTAAAAATTCACTTTCAGCGGATCTTCGCACGATTAGGGGCGAAAAATTAAATATTTAAATAATAAGTTATCATGTTAGATCAATGTGTACAAAGTGGAACTAAAAAGACACTAAGTGTGTGTTTATGAACATTACAATGACATTTGATGCTGGAAGGACATTCTGTTGACAAATGTACATTGTTGTTTGCAGGTGCCCTGGGCAAACGAAACACTGACGAGCTTGATAAGAACAAGGATGGCAATATTGACCAATCAGAAGCTGAGGAACTGATGGAAAGACGGGCAGCCGAGGATCTTCTTTCACTTGCTGATGAAAATGGTAAAACACGCTTTGCTATTCATTTAATGACAATGTACACCTTTATACACTTGATTTTGATGTTTCACTAAACACTAGCATTACTTAAGTGTTCCTGTCATTTATTGTGAAAATGTATATTCCTCTCGCTTCACGAATAAAGTCTGACTGACAACTTCAACAATTTCAGGTGATTCGAACGTGAGTGTGGAAGAGTTCTCGAGGAGCATCCATGACTTCATGACCATAGATTCAGGTAATATAACATAACAAGTAGAATAGTTTGTTTGTATCTGGACCCGAAAATCCAATGATTGACATCATGAGCATCGATCCAAGTAATTGGGATACGATGACATGCATCAACCAAGTCAGCGAGTCTGACCACCCGATCCCGTCTGTCGCCTCCCACACAAGCATGGGTTGCTGAAGATCAATTCTAACCCAGAATCTTCAAGGGACAGTAGAATAGTAGTGGTATTTGTAGAAAATATCAAAAACACAGACATGTAATGTTCTGATTCGAGCGAATGATTTAGGTTGAGGTATGAGGCCATTTTAACAGCATTTCAGCTTTATTACTCTTGGAAAAAACACAAAGACTTGAATGTCTTTAACGTGTATAACTTCATTAAAGCCCTGAGGAAGTGGTACAGTGATGACAGACCGAGGATCATAATCAGGAGGAATCGGATACCGAGACCAGCTGATCCTGGATCTTTGAACCACTGGGCCACCCCAGACCCTGATTATTGATTTGAAGGACGACAAACATAGTTGACACACGTGTATTATTTTATACTGTCAATTGTTTCCTTTCAGACCCACTGTTGCAAAAACAACTTGCAGAAGAGTTTGCTGATGCATTTGAGGATGATGCGGAATAAAGCGCCAGATCAACATCTTTATGAAATGATTTCAATAAAAAGATTCTTGCAAACGTAAACTGTCTCCTGTGCTGTTGATTATCAATTAAACTATATTAGGCACTAGAGGTGCACCCAAAAATCGTTCCAGAATCCGCTGGACGATGTTCCTAGAAACATCAAGGAGATTTGCAGGAGAACCTTGAGCCGTTTTAAATAGAATGGGCAACAATTGTGCTCCTCTTCTTGCGGATCTGTTTCTTTATGCAAATGCCCTGATTGGCAAAGTCAAAACAAAGTAATTTCGCTAAGAAGTTTCAGGTATATCGATGATCTGATATCGTTCAATAAGAATCAAATAGCCAATTCCTTTACACTGATCTACCCACCTGAACTAGAAATAAAAGAGACCAGTACGAGTAGAGAGGCATAGCCAGTTACAGTTGCAATCGAGTCTGTGAATTCTATATATCTATTGACATAGGGCACTCGTGAAGAGCAACCTCCTCGTGGTGAGTGCTGGGTAACGCTAATCGCTCTTCCCCCGTGTGGAACCGGGGCAGAATATTTCCACAGCCTCCCATTGCTGGTCGTATGAGGCGACTAAAATGGGCAACCTGTTTGCCGTGGGTTGCGTCCCTGTGTCGGCGGAGGACGGGAGTCTGGTAGTTGAGGGCTCTGGTTCCTGGAACTGTGTTCCTTTGCCCAACACACTACTTCGACCCTTACTTCGCCTAGACGGGTGGTAAGATGGGCCCGGTCTTATCAATCGGCTGGTCATGCCAGGCCCTGTGCGTAATATTGTATATGCACTCCTGTGTAGTATTATACTGTATATTTTGGACTTGGCCATGCATACTTTGTATGAATTACCAATTTTGGATGTAATAAATTGCCTAGAGTCTTACGCCAGAAGGCGGTGGCTCATGGGCCAATCTGGTGATGTTGACCTCTGTATTCTGTATGTCTCCAGTTTCTTGTCATGGACTGAACCTGCCTGGCACTACATCTGGTAGATAAATATAGCTATTCAAGTCATATTTGCTGGAGTATAGCATCCCTGTATCCCTGGTGTCAGCATCCTGGATATCCGGTGCAATTTGACACCGTCCTTGGTGTCACTCGGTGGTGGGTGGGGAGCAGGGGTGTGGAATTATTTTCTTTCGTCATGTCACTACAACAATCTGGTTCCTCTCGGAATGAAAAGAAGAGACGTATTGAGGATATAGACCACTCATATGGAAATACTTCTTCAAACATTGATTCTTGGGCTAGATTCTTAGTTATTGAGGCTAGCGATAAATTACCTATCAAACTGAACCCATTTGCTATCTCTAAAGCAATTTCTGGAATTTGTGGAGAGGTGAAAAATGTCACCCGTCTTCGTAGTGGCTCACTTCTGGTTAAGTGTGCACGGAGACAGCAATCTCTCAATCTTTTGTCTATCACAACTTTTGCCGATATTGAGGTTGCTGTGTCTGTGCACAGAACACTGAATTCTTGCAGAGGCATCGTTCGCGACAGGGCTCGTTGCTTGTCCGACATGTCGGAAGAGGACATTGCTGCAGAGTTGGAGGAGCAAGCTGTCACCGCAGTAAAACGTTTCACTGTCAAGAAAGATGGTGTAATATCAAATACTAACACGTATCTCTTGACGTTTGCGCGTACATCGATTCCGCAATCAATTAAGGCAGGTTATTTCAATATCGGAGTGGAGGTGTTTGTCCCCAATCCACTCCGATGTTACAAATGCCAACAGTTCGGTCATGGGTCAAAGTCTTGTAACAACTCTGTGGTGTGCCATCGTTGTGGTGGCACCCATGAATCCTCAGATTGTGAAAAAGATTTTTACTGCTTCAACTGTCATGGCCCACATCCTGCATCATCAAGGTCCTGCCCTGTGTGGCAAAGAGAATCAAACATTATGAAAATCAAAAGTGAAAAAAACATTTCTTATCTCGAGGCCAAGAAACTGTTCACACATCAGACCTCAGCTCCTGCCAATATAACATACTCTGCTGCAGTCACTCGTTCTGTAACAACATCTTCTATTTCATGTCAGACTGACTTAACATGGGTCAAGTCTGAACAACCTGTTGTAACAGCTTCAATAAAGCAGTCTATTTCCATAGCCACTCAGTCCAGTGCTGGATCTCAGACAGAGAGTCAGCCTGAGACAAATTCTCAGACAGAGAGTCAGCCCGAGAATAAATCTTCAACGTCTATGTCCCTACCGGACACCATTCCTTTGACAAGAAAAGAAAAAAAGAAATTGAATAGAAAACCAACAACAACCGTCCCTACATGTTCAGAGGTTCCTCTACAGAACTTTTTTGGACCTCTGGATATGGAGGTCACCCTGTCCTCACAGGACAGGCAGAGGAGTAGTTCCTCCTCACATTCCCGTGAAAGATCTCCTATTGAGCCACCATGACTCAATTGCCCAATCTAATGCAATGGAATTGCAGAGGACTTAGACATAATTTCAATGAGATCCAATTATTGATACAAGATTTAAAGCCGTCAGCACTATGTCTTCAAGAAACCTACCTCAAAAGTACAGATAAGTTTACTTTAAGACAGTACGATGATTATCATTCCTTTTCTCCTCCTGGAGATAAGGCAACAGGAGGCTCAACTATCTTTGTGCGACAGGGCATCATACATAGCCTAGTCCATCTTAATACAAATCTTCAAACTGTTGCTGTTCGTCTGACTCTCAAGGCACTCGTGAAGAGCAACCTCCTCGTGGTGAGTGCTGGGTTACGCTAATAGCTCTTCCCCCGTGTGGAACCGGGGCAGAATATTTCCACAGCCTCCCATTGCTGGTCGTATGAGGCGACTAAAATGGGCAACCCGTTTGCCGTGGGTTGCGTCCCTGTGTCGGCGGAGGACGGGAGTCTGGTAGTTGAGGGCACTGGTTCCTGGAACTGTGTTCCTTTGCCCAACACACTACTTCGACCCTTACTTCGCCTAGACGGGTGGTAAGATGGGCCCGGTCTTATCAATCGGCTGGTCATGCCGAGCCCTGTGCACTTATTGTGTTTATAATTGTGTGACTTTTGATTTAAGTTTCTAATTTAGGACTTGGCCAAATTTTGATGTGACGAATCGAGTATTTTGTTTGTGAAATATTTGAATTGCCTAGAGTCGTATGCCCAGAAGGCGGTGGCTCATGGGCCAATCTGGTAGATTAATTGATTTTTTTCGTTAATCTGCTTGAGTATGCCATCCCAGTATCCTTGGTGCTGCCAGTTGGAGCTCCACTGGCTTACAGCATTGTCCGCGTGATACTCCGTGGTGGGTGGGGAGCTGGGTTGGTGAACCATATACAACTCCACCATGGCTCAACCAAAAAAACCAAAAAGAGCATTAGATGATTCCTCTGACGAGGATCATTTTACACCAAAATCTTGTTCAAATAGTTGGTCTCGATTTTTAGTCGTTTCTGCTGCTGATGGTACGCCATTGAGACTAAATCCTTTTGCCATCTCCAAGGCTCTTTATGGCATTGCCGGCGACGTGCAAAATGTTAAAAAACTTCGATCCGGTTTGCTATTGGTCGAATGTAAAACAGAAAAACAGTCTACAACCTTACAAGCTGCCCAACATTTAGTCTCTACTGCTGTTCTGATTCCGCCACACAAAACTCTCAACTCGAGCAAAGGCATTATCAGAGATAGAGATCGGTGTCTCTATGATATGTCCGAAATTGAAATTGCGGAAGAATTAAAAGATCAGGGAATCACACATGTCAGACGCTTCACATACAAAAGAGATGATACTATCTATAAATCAAACACATATTTAATGACTTTTGCAAAGCCAAATCCTCCAAAAAGTATCAAAGCAGGCTATTTCAACATCGTGGTGGATAAATACATTCCAAATCCACTTCGGTGTTACAAATGTCAGCAGTTTGGGCATGAGTGAGTGAGTGAGTTAATATTTAACGTCACATCGGCAATATTTCAGCCATATCGTGACGAGAAGTACATTAATAATACATATATTTATACAATATAAAAAGCTGTCAACGAAGGACAGTACAATAACTAGAATATCACAGAATCTATTTAAAACTAGTTGAGAATATATAAAAGTCATAAATATCAGAGAACACAATATAAAAATGGGCTAGAGATCGCCAGCAACTGAAGATAGATCACCATGCTAGGGTCCATGGGGACTTACAGTACCTTTGCTTCCTGCATGGACCCCGGCAGGATTTATATCATCCCTTCAGTCACTGGCGACAGTGTACCAATTAAGCCAAACTAAAATGACGAATATTCTACGATTAAAAACCTGGCATGCAGAAAAATACTTTAAATGATATGGGACTTACATACCCTCTTAGGGGGACAATAATTTTACGCTACTTCAACCCCCCTCGAGGGTACAGCCACTAACAATCTCAGTTATGAATTTTGCACTACCAATCTTTAAAACAATACAACAATTACATCAAAATTTATGTATAAGTTCTATTTCTTTTAAAAAACATAGTATTAAATGAGAGTTAACTTTACTAAAAAGGTCCTTCACTGTTTTTACACTGAAATATTTATCCCTTGTGATGGAAAAATCAATACAGTCAAGCAGGACATGCTTGACCGTGATTCTTTCATCACAAGGGATACAAAACGGAGGATCCTCACCCTTTAATATATACTCATGTGTATACCTCGAGTGGCCAATACGACATCGCCGCATAATAACCTCTTCAAATCTGGACTGACAGCCCAAGTAGGTGTAACCAATATTGGGTTTAATTACGTGTAATTTATTGATACCTACTTGGGTGTCCCACTTCTTTTGCATCAGATCACGGATGTAAGATCTAATTATAGGTTTATAATCACTGTATGGTAAAAGAAGTGGTGTCACAGATTTGTCGAGTGCTGCTTTTGCAGCAGCATCGGCCAGTGTGTTACCAACAATCCCAACATGGCTTGGTAACCAACAAAAGACGATGTCATATTGGCCAGTCGCAAGATCATTAAATAATTCAAGAATTTCAATTAAAAATGGATGTTTACATGACATATTTTTAATAGCCTGAAGGCACGAAAGTGAG